AAGCATCTATCCCACCGATATCTAAAACCCCGAACATTGTAGCTTACGTCACTTATAGATGTTTGGTCGACTGGTTGCGTTATGGCGGAGTTAATGCTAGGCCAACCCCTTTTCCCCGGTGAATCCGGTATCGATCAATTGGTGGAGATTATTAAAGTGTTGGGAACTCCAACTCGTGAACAAATTCGTACTATGAACCCGAATTACATGGAGCACAAATTCCCACAGATCAAGCCTCACCCGTTCAGTAAGGTGTTCCGTAAGGCAGACGCAAATGCTCTGGACTTGATAGCGAGGTTGCTGGAATACACACCGACGGAACGTCTGGGTGCCATCGACGCCATGGTGCATTCTTTCTTTGACGAGCTCCGAGATCCTAACACGAAACTCCCGGATTCCCGTCACTCGAGCGGTCAATTAAGGGATTTGCCAAATCTATTCGACTTCTCAAGACACGGTGAGTCTAGTCTAGCTCCTCGCTCCTTTCTATTACAAGACTAATTGCATTTGGTAGAATTATCCATCGCGCCGCAGCTAAACCAGAAGCTCGTCCCCCCTCATATGAAGTCTATCTTAGCGTCTCGCGGTCTCGATATAGATAATTTCACGCCCATGGCTAAGGCAGACATGATGGCCAAGTTAGACTGAATTACGGTCACCGCTTACGCTCTCATTTCACGTATGTATGCATCGTCGCCCGGGATTTCGCTACAGCATTCACTCACTAGCCGAGCCTGTAATGGCTTGAACTCGTCGGACTGACGTTTAATTGAACCTACCGGATTGATAATAGCAATTCCTCGACCTCAGCGTGCATTTAAGGGAGGACAGTCCAACATGAATTAGGAGGAATGGGTTCTTCAGAAGTTTGGTGTGCTGTGGAAGTTTCCGAGGTGTCGATAAGCCTTTGGGAACCTCCATTTACTCGGTTCTAGTATCTCGGTTGTAGCAACAAGGGACAACTGCTTCAGTATCAGGCGCACTGATTGGAAGATGGCACGCACCGGACGTTCTTAGACTTCTCCTATGCATGACCGAGACGGCATTTGCTTTTATTTGTCTTGTTCAATAACTCGCTTTATCCTCGTGGTAGGCGACCACGAGGAGGCTGGATTCCCCTCGCGTGGTCTTCCGAGATATTCTCTACACAAGTTAAAGAAGGGGGATGAGATGGCGTATGTGTTATTCTATGAGTAGCGGGTGTGTGCAGCGGTAGTGAAATGGTGGTAGGGCGACAAGTGGAACATGATGTTGAAACCGGCAAGCCTCCGGCCCAGGGCAGCAATGGCATATTGGGACTGGACAGTTTATGGAGACTCGGCATGACTTCAAAAAAGATTTCTTTTTCATTTCTTCCCTCGCAAGACGGACTCTGATGTGCGTCGAGAAGTGGGAAGATGGTTTACTAAAAAGGAGGACCGGGTCTTCTACTCAGACGTCAAGGAAACAAGCCAACTGCGGTTGCGGCACACAGCGATGAAGACACAGCTCTTGGTCCAAGAGAAAGATCAGATGGCACCACTTCGTACGATACTTGATGCGTAAAGAGCTACCCGATGACCGTGACCCCTTGAATTCCGCCACTATTGTAACAAGGTCCCTATGCGTAATGCTTATTAATCGCGTTTTATTGATAGTAAGTTGTTATAGAGGTATGAGAGCAACGATGTGTCCTAGGGAAAGTCCAAGTAATTGATCACGATAGACCGATTAGCCAGCCTTCCGGTCATACCTAGCTAGTTCTAGTTTATATGTCGACTAGTTAGACAAGGCTTACAAGGACGATATGCCGAATAGGAAGAAAGTTGCCATTAATTACCTCTAGGTACCTATCGTAGTTAGACATTCCATAGCGGAGTTCAATAAGTGTCTAACTAATGATTATATAAGCGGATAAAGCTAACAGGCAGGTGCGTCGCGATAAGATAGGTGTGCCAAAGCTAAAATAACCAAGCTGAAGGCCCGTGCTACTCTTTTCGCGCGTTGCGTGTTTCCGTAGTTAGATATTCCGTAGAACATCAAGTTTCAACTCGTGCCACCCGCCCACCCATTGAGGATAATTTCTATGAATTCGACCCTTCAATCACATCGGTTTCTTTCATCGACGTAAGATGGCGGATCATGATCGCAGACAGCCTGCTGGCGGCTATAGCAATCGCAAAAGGCGTTACAGAGGTACGGAATTAGACTGGTAGCTCGAACTGGTAGCTCGAACCAATATCGTTGCTCCCAGCCTCTCTTACCACTGTCGTAGGGGCGTTGCTAGAGAGCCTATATACTAACTTGACTACCTAGATGATGATGACTACGACCGCCGACCGCAACGACGTCGCTACGATGCACCGCTTCCCGTCCGCATACGTAAGCAGCTCCTAGGCCTCGCCGAGTCTCCTTTGCGACGCTGGCACGAGGAAGTTCAATCCATTGCCCATGTCCTCGCCGACAACTACGAAGATCAGGAGCTGCGCACCAGCTTCTTGGATCTAGTACTGCAGATGCTTATTGAGCAGCCGCTCAAGACCCCGTTCCTGGCAGCCGTAGTACTCGTCGCCAATTCGCTGAAGCCCGATATACTAGGTGATCTTTTGACCCGGGTCGCTACTGCAACGGAGGAGAAAGTCAGCATAGGCGAGTGGCGCGATGTGAAGCTGTATCTAAAGTTCCTGGCATGTCTACAAAGCTCCCTGGAGGGTGATGGCGTGTTCCCTTTGCTTGAAGAGCTCTTTAGTCGAGCTGTCGACCTCCAGACTGCCAGTTCTGATGATGTGAGTATACAACCATTACAACCTCAATGCGGGTCATCTATGCTAACAAAACTCTCAAGACGATTGGCACAGAACTTGTTAAGATCATCCTTCTGACGATACCGTATATTATGGCAGCTGCGCCTGCCCAGTGGCAACAAAAGGCGGCTGAGCTGATGGATAAGACAGACGTCATTGCGTCCGAACCGCATGCGTTGCAAGTACTAATCGACCCGTATCACGTCGAGGAGGGAACAGAGAGCCCAACCGCGAATATGAGTCTGATCGGGCTCCTACAGAAGCAGCTCCAAACCGAGGCTCTGAATGGTTGGGAGCTTTCGTGTCTTCCAAGACCATGGCAAATGCCACCCGAAGAGATCGAACAGCAGGAGAAGCTAGATAATGCACAGAAGCATACCTTACCAAGCATATCTATTCCAGAGAAAGTCGTCGCCGGCCCCCGCCCTCTTTTTCCCGAGATCTATTTCTCGGTCTACGTTAACCAGGAGATTGAATCTGTCCCGCCCGTCAGTAGTATCGCGTCGTCACTAATCAGGGACGCGCTTCTCGATACGATCAATATCATGGACTTCAACCGCGGTGTTACGGCTCGCTTCCTCATAGACGTGGATTGCTATTTTGCTCCCGGCACATTCGTCAAGCGTGCAACTCCCTTCGATCGGCTCCGAGATGTAGAAGGAGATCGCTCGACGTGGAAACCAGAGGATGTCGCTGTAGACGCTGTCTTTTCCCAAATCTTCGCGCTGCCCGCGCCAGAACATAAGCTGGTATATTACCATTCAGTTCTTACTGAGGCTTGCAAGATTGCCCCCGCAGCAGTCGCTCCCAGTTTAGGCCGAGCCATTAGGTACTCATACCAAAATACGCACCGTCTCGACCTAGAGTTGTGCTACAGGTTCTTAGATTGGTTTACTCACCATCTCAGTAACTTCGGCTTCATGTGGAAGTGGATCGAATGGGTAGACGATGTCAATCTCCCTGACATGGATCCCCGTAAAGCTTTCATCCTTGGTGCCTTAGACAAGGAAATCCGCCTCAGTTTCGCCCAGCGGATCAAGGGCACGCTCCCCGAACCTTACCAGGCCCTTATTGGGCCTGAAAAAGAGCAGGACACGCCAGAATTTAAATTCAACGATGACAGTAAGCTAAATTACCTTCGTTTACTGCCAACAAGCAACTAATCTTAAATCCAGACACCCCATTCGCTGCAGAAGGCAGAGAGATTGCGGCTCTACTTAAGCGCAAGGCTCCAGACGAGGAGATCCAGCCCATCATCGACCGTATCCACTCTGCTGCCCTTGACCAAGCCATCGATCCTCTTGTTTCCAGCACGGATGTTTTTATGACAGCCGTTTGCTGGGTAGGTTCCAAGTCGCTGTCTCACGTACTTGCCTGCATCGAGCGTACAAAGGATAGGCTTCTTGATTCCGGGGCCGCTTCGGAAGCGGCTAGAGCGCAAATCATTACCGCAGTTGTCTCCTACTGGTCTTCCCACCCGGGTGTTGCGATTACCATCGTTGAAAAGCTACTGAACTACTCGATCATTACACCTAACGCCGTTATCGACTGGGCCTTGGCTGGTGATCGCGCAGGCCCATACGGGCAAGCGCTCAGCAAGTCTTGGGTATTCGAGCTGGTATTTAACACCGTAGTCAAAGTGACCAGCCGCCTAAGACAGGTTGTTAGCAGCGGTACAAGCGAGAATAACGAAGAGGAGATAGCCAATATGCGCGAACTCTTCAAGAACATAGAGGATGCCCTGGTCAGCTGGGCACATGGGACCAAAGACCAGATTATGGACCCTGTAGTATCGGACGGCGGAGAAGACATGATTCAACGCTGGGGTGAGAGGTGGCTTAGAGTCTTTAGGCGAAGGTCTGCCATCGAAGAGACGTTCTTACTAGAGCACAAAGCGGATTCGTGAGATATGTAAGATCCATAATGGGGGTTTAGGAGTTCTGGGAATTTGGCATTGACAAAAACATACGGGGGCTTGATAGCTTTTCCTCGCGCACTCGCGCTTAGTCCTGTATAAAATTAGAATAATTGATTTAAGCTTTGACTTACTTATACTGAATACGTACCCTGGGTTAACGATCAGAAGGTCGTTTTAAGCTATTGTAGTCTGTTCTGTTATCACTGATCGTGGTAGACAAGATAAGATTACTGTAAATATTCCAACTTACCTACCTGTAAGTACATTATATTAACTCGCAATTCGATATTGCCACAAGGGATAATTTTGGTTGCTATTATGCACAATAAGGTTTTTGCTAGTTATAGGTACTAATAAGATATACAAGCTACGGAATTAAGGGTATCTTAGGCCAAGCCTTTGTCTTTACAAACATTAAAGGACGTTGATTCTTTAATACAACCCTGGAATCGGTTTCGCTAGGATGTCCACTGGGGCAGGTAGAACTTGACGTTTTCATATACGAGAAACGTAACCCAGGTCGCAGGGAGGACTCTTACCACCCCAGGTACGATCCCACGGTAGAAACCTCGCCACCCTTCTTCCGTCCACGTTCTCGTCACGACTCCCTTAATACCCCTTCCGAACCTCGTATCGGCATCGTAATTCTGTAGTCGGCTGCGGATGACCTGGTAGGGATATGTAACTGCTCCGGCGACCAACTTGGCGACGCTGGAGATCACGAGGGTCGCCTCGGTACTCATTCTCTGTCTTCCTAGGCTGTCTGATTCCTGGTGACTTGAGAAGGGGCCGCGACGCGCAAAGTACAGTCTTTTGACTGGGTCGTAGACGGCAAATTGCACCGCTCCGTGAGCTACGCCTAATAAGCTGATCCCTAAGCCTCGATAAAATCCCCTCCAGCCTTCGTGGCGGAAGAGGTGAGCGGCGCCAGCCGTCATACTTGGATATGCGCCAGCGGCGGTCCGATCGGATGACAGTATGCGTGTCTTCATTACCCAGATGGGGTTCGTCAAGACTTGGGTGATGAGACCGGCCAACCCCGAAGCTACGAAATAGTCCCGCGGTGCGAGCGAGGCATCCGGAGAAGCCTTCAAGGCTAGGAGGGCACGCTCAGCCCGGGCCTTAAAGAAGAAAAAGGAAGCCCAACTAGAGGCATTTCCAAGAAGGTTAGGAGTGAGACCTCGGTAGAGAGACGCTACGGGATGTGGCGTCTGGGTGAGTGAGCGGATCAACGACACGGTGGTGAGGGGCTGATGAGAAGTGCGCTGGTGGACTATGCGGCAAGGTTCAGCATGCGGTCATAGTGCGTCGGGGGGCGGGTGGTTACCGTACTCTGCATCCGGGTCTTGACGATGTCGAGCGGATGGACGACAAGCGTAGCTATAGATCCCGCGGAAAGACCGGCGACGGTCTCAACGGCGGCGGGAGAGAGACCCGCATGATTCTGTGGCATAGGGGTGAATCTGGATAGAGCCTATTACATTATTATTATAAGACTATATCGATTTTCGCGTAGAAATATCCCGATATCTTGGAAGAAAGTTTTTTTCTTTTTTTTCTTTTCTTGTTCCTTTTTCGAGTAGTGAGATTATGTAATCATAGAGACCTACCGATACAATTGCTTCAATTGGGTTTAGGTAGATGACTTACTCATGATGACTTCATTGAGGCTTAGGTAAGTAAGTTGTTAGTGGTCACTTTAAATGCATATACTGTCAATAGTGTATAATTCGCTATTCGCATTGTACCTAAAATTGTGAATCATGAATTGTAGGTTTAACCCATTGTACCTACATACATACAATATTTGGTTATTCACACCCGGCTTCACCCACTGATACCCACGGCGGGTTATAGTCCGAATAGCCTCAGTCACCTTTCGGGCAAGTCGCAATAATGTCTACTACAACGGAAACGGCTCCGGTCCAAGTCGAGGTCCCCAAACTGTCTATCGATGTTGAGTTCACGTAAATATCCCCCACGTATTTTAATCTATATATAGGCCTACACATCCATATATCTATCTATCTATCTATCTATCTAGTATCTAGTAGGAGTTATACTGACGATAGCTTAGAGGCGGCTTGGAGATGCTATTTTCGGATCAGCGTCGTCATTCCATCTCCATATCAGCCGCAAACAAAGATGGCAAGCCGGCAACTATTGCTGATTTGATCCATCATTTATGTGAGCATACTATGAAGGATGCCCGCAAAGACCTCTTCGTTCTCCAAGATCACCTGTACGTTACTACCCTGACCTTGTTTTAATCCCTATTTTACCCGAGCATGTCAGTCTCGATATGTAGAACCCCCTCCCCCCCTCTCACCGTATCTTCCCTACAACAGCCGCATACTTATACATTATCTCCTTATCAAAATACATCATTGCAAAGCTAGCTAATACGTCAACGTAGCCGGCCTGGCATCCTCGTCCTGATCAACGACGCAGACTGGGAACTAGAAGGCGAAGAGGCTTATGAGATACAAGCAGGGGATAATATCCTATTCGTCTCTACGCTGCATGGCGGGTAACGCTGCTTCTCTCTGTTCGAATGCCGAAGTACACCGCTATTCGGAAGCTGAAAGCGGCCGTTACATTCGTCATGGCTGCATCACCTCTTAATATAGACAACGATAGACAGCGATAGACAGCCTTGGGTGCCTTGAGTAAAACCCAACTTCGTTCAAACCGGTGATTCGACATCTACGACTAGCTTCTCAACAACTTGCCTCATTTCTTCTACCCCGCCTTCATGCATGTGAAGCGCTGCCAGTCACTTCCAACCGGCTCAGGTGCCGTTGTTGTGAATTACATACATTGTAGAAGAATGTTCCGGCTAATTCGGTTGACATGTCAAGCTTCATGCAGTGCCTCCCACGATCGGTGTTTTAGCTGCCTAGTAAAAACGTAAGACAAAGACCCGGTACCGTGGCATATCGCCATAATAAACCAGATCTATCACATTTTCCCTGAACTTAAGCGTTCATCCAGTCATCCAAGACTGGCTTGTGTTGATCAACCACTTTTTCGGGTCTTATAGCACATAAACCCCGTCTATAGTGTAACTAAAGCTCCGGCGATAACGAAAACACGATGTGTCGAGGAATGGACAATCGTAAATCTCGCCTCGAAAAAAGGATACAATTAGCTAAGAGAATTGCAGGGTCCTCCACGCATTTGAAACCGGTGTACGGTTGAGATCGATTAATCGACAATATAGATCATCTCATTCGCTCATCTGCAAGCAGGGATCCAAAAGGAGCTATTTGCAGGAATGGACAGGTACAGGCAGGGCAGGTGACCCAGAATTATCATAAGAGACAAATGCAGATTTGCTTGATGAGAATTCATGTTTATTGGGAAAGCCGAGCCATAATTTTAATAAGGATAAGAGCCTCAGCTTTGGCTCAACCTCCGAGGGTAGCCCGCATCCTTCAGGAAATGAGCCATTTGTCTGTTCCCTCGTTAAGGAGCATCATCCATTCGTCAATGGCTTTACTTACCTGCCTACTCCTGCAGACCGCCTTCACGAGAAAATCATCGTCAGTAGGCACTTACGCATACATACACGCATACATACACATACACACATACATTGCAGCTAGCATTGTGGCGAAAGAGACAACGCACTCGAGTTCTTACACGCTCGGAGCTTGTAGACCGGCCACTTCAAGATCGCCGGGGGGTCAAATCCCCCGCTCCTTGATGTAGGTATAGCCCATCGCCACGAATGCCTGTCGTGTCGTTATCACATCCACACCATATAAGATCACCGAGGCGGTCCCGAGGATTATAAGCGCCGCACCGCACCGCGTCGTTAAGAGTATAGCCGCAAGGAGTAATAGTTAATAGTACTAGTAATATGACTTCGAGACTACATTATCAAGCAGGATTTCCGACATATCTTTTTCTCTCTTGTCCTTCGGAGCTTGGAATCGCTCCCCGCGTGTCCGACCAGAAATAGTAATAAAATAATAAAAACCACAATGATTGTAAAACCCACCAATAAACTCCGCCTGGTTTGCACTCCTGGAAGGTCTAGTAACCTTTGATGCAAATAATCTGGTATCTCCACCGCGTATCCCATGGCTTTATGCAAAACGTGAATAATTCTTTCCCAAACCCCAGATCCTTGGGGGTTCTTTTTTAAAAAATGTTTCGATTCTTCTTTTTCGATGCGCCCGCCGCGGGTATTTCCGCCTGATTGGTAGTGTAAAGCAAGGTAAGGCCGCCCACCACCAAAATGCGTATGTTGCTTTCGTCCGTTTCGTGTCCACCAGATTATGCATCTATTCTCCTCTCGCTCGTGCCCGCCTCCATCCCGACCGCTACCCAAGCCCAGGTAGCCTGTCCTTTTTTTGTACCCCTTTGTCGTGTCCCCACCCCCCTTCGGCCCTGCCGTCCGCGTGTAGATGCGGATGTGGGATGTGGATGTGGATGTAAGTGTAGATAGCCGAGCCGAGATCGAGTGTAACCCGTCGATGAAACCTGAGATATTATATAGTTCGCCCCTATTGGGCAGGTGTAAAAAAAAAAATCGTTGCATGAAAATCGAAGGAAACCGATGGTTTAAGGAAATGCCACTTCTGCTAGATCCATGCGGCCATAGCTGCATAGATAGCGTCGACGATGCAAATGTGGATTCGAGGCGGCTGTATGTATTGCCAGAAACATGTGATGGCGGTTAATCAGAGAAGAATGTAGTCCCTTTGTCCTCTCTTCTCAACCAACTGACTGAACGGTCAGTGCCATGGTTATTACCCAAGTGTCAATAACACATCCTACTAATTTCTTCTTCTTCTTTTTTTGGTTTTTTCTTTTTCTTTCCTCCTGTAAATTTGTGTTGGGCTTCCGGGAAAGGAGAGACGGTGAATCAGATAGATGGCTAGCCTCCCATGGATTAACAATGTGTGGTATCTTGAATTCAAAGAGAACACCACCCAGAATTCGATGATATATATGCGCGCGGAAGAAAGATACGTGGGATTAGACCTCTATGTCTCTTAGATCGATACTTGAGAAGTGCCCACGTTGTTGTACCGGTTGTTGTGGGCGTGATTTTATATCCGTAGATACACGCGGGCTAATAACCCCTGTGGTGAGCAGCGAATGCACGACCGTACTGGTCCTCGTTCATGATGCTAGGACTGCTGGCAGCGGTGGTGGTTTCGCTGGCTGCGATACTCGCTTGATCCATATCGTACTGTCCATAAGCAGCATGTTGATCGCGAGGAACCACCATATTGCTTGAAAGACTGTTGTTTCTGGACATACCACAGTCATCGTAGTCCTCAGAGTACGGAAGACCGTCTGCGGTATAGCGTAGTTGATACATGTGGTGTTGTTGGGCAAGCGGTGAAGTCTGGGAAGCAAAGGATTGTGAAAGGCCTGGGGTCACCGAAGTCTGGCTTCTTCGGGCGCCTTTACTCTTGCTTCTAGATCCTCGGCCTTTGATTCCCTTGTTGAGGTTCTTATATAGCTCGGCAAAGTGTTTGAAGATCCTCGTCTCCTCTTCTGAGAGCTCCTCGCTATGGGTCATGTTTTTGAACCTATGAGTTAGTCTCTTGATGGTCTCTGTGTGGTAGGCATTGTGATGAGTCTGTGTTAGGATTAGTACTCTTGTGCCGTCGCTATGAATGTATTTCACGTACCTTCAAATTCCCTCGTTGGCTAAAAGTCTTATGGCATCCGTCAAGCAGACACACGAAAGGCTTGGTACGGAAGTGCGTACTCCTATGGGGCTTCACGTTCCCTAATTGAGCAAAAGCCTTCTGGCAGATGTCACACCGGTATGGCTTCTCTCCAGTGTGTTGCCGGATATGTGACTGGTTTTCACTTGTTAAAAAAAAAGCCTAAGGTCATGTTGCTTAAGGGGATTCATACCTTCAAATTGCCTCTCTGGCTGAATCCTAGACCACATCCGGGCTCTGGGCATATCTGGACGGAAAACAACGTTAATAACAGTGCTACTAATAGAACTCAGGGTCAGACACCGTACAAAGGGTTTCTCTCCGGTATGGGCCCGTTTGTGGGTTTCCAGCTGGGTCTTCTGGGAACATCGTTTCCCACATCCCTTGAAATCGCAAATATAGCGCTTCTGGCGGTCCTTTCCGCCGCGACCGACTGTAGAGCTCCTCTTTTCCGGGCTACAAGACTTCCTGCGCAAGTTGAACTTCTCTTCGTCCTGGTGCGGAGGAGAAGGGTAAGAAGACACTCCAGAATCGAATTCCTTGTCAGGTTCGCTCTTCAACTGTATCGCCTTCATTAGAGTATCTATTTGACTGCGGGAAACCACCTCATGAGTCCCATCTTCGGCAACATTCCGGACAACGGTCTTGGTTGTAAAAGGAGGAGATTGAGAGGGAGATCTCTGAATATCCACCTGTGGCTCGTACTTGACTTGAGTCGTTTCTTCCGACTCTACCGGGGGCGCTTGGTATAGATTTCGTTGATACCCAACATGTAGTCCTCCGGTATCCGTTGGTATCGTACACGGAGGTTGACATTCTTCTTGATAGTGTTTATAAGATGAGATGACGGAAGGGGACGGAGGTGTGTATGAACCGAAAGTGAAGTGATTTCCGGGTGGAAATTGCGGTGTCTGCGGG